CACCAGCATGTAAGCTCCATGAAGTAAAGAACCACATCACTTGTTCAGTAACATGGTGTGATGCATAATAGATGTTACAAACTCTGTACTAAGTGTATGACAATGTGACCCAAGACAGTAGCAGATACACTCCCTCCTTAGAGACGTTCCTGCTTCTTATAAGCATGTATCAAGAAAGAAATGGAAAATGCACAATACTGGTGAGCTTTAAGACTGCCCAACTAGTTACAACACAGTTGCAAGAGTCAGTTATTCACACTTGAAACTCATATTTCATCAGAATTACCACGCACAGTAGCACTGGGTTCTTCTTGCCTGAATCTGCTCTCCTGGGAAGGCAGTTAACTGGAGCCTAACCAGCTGGGGTTGGCACAGAGCCTGACTCACCTGGGAAAGGAAATCCCCAGCTCCAGCCCACTCTCGCTGTGCTGTCCCCTCCAAGGGGGAGAAAACCATGGAGACACAGGAGGTTCACAGTCCAGAGGCACACTCAGGGACTGACTGAGACCTCATCGTAGGAGGTGGAATCTCCCCTCTCCTCCAGGAAGGAGATAGAGGGGTCCCCGGGCTGGAGAGCTGGTGTTCATCAAGTGGAGTAAAACTGAAGGTTTATTCTCATGCACACACTCCAAGGAAAAAGCTAGTGGCAGAAGCTGAGCCCCGCTAGGGTAAAGAGATACTGTGCCCATGCCTGAGGTCAAGGAAGACTTCCCTGTCTGTACAAGAGAAGGCAGGCTTCCCAGGGGTCAAAAAGGGAGGGGGGCCCACCCCATAATAAGGGTGGACATGCACCCACAGGCCTCTGTGGTGGGATCCATCTTAGCAAAACGTTGCCCATGCATGTTGGGGAGGGTTCAGGGATCAGTCAGGTGTCAAGAAAGAGACAAGGTAATTGGCCAAAGGTAAACAAAGACAATATTTTAAGTCTATATTATGAAATCATACAGTAACCACAGCAATTATTTTGAATTTAGACCAACAGAAGTTTGGTTTGTTTGTTTTTGTGGAGTTTTTAAAGATCTACTGACAAATGTCCTTTTTGCTAGTAAATCCCATCATTCGGTAATCTCAGAAATCATTCCTTATTTCAAAGAGAAAAATTCCACTATAGTTTAATCCCATTGCCTCTGACTGAACTCCCATCATATAGACCAAAGATCAGCAAACTTTTTCTGTAAAGGGACAGATAGTGGTATTTTAGGTTTTGTAGGTCCAGATGCAACTGAGCAACTCCATGTGTTTATGCAGCTGGGAAGGCAGCCACGGACAATATATTAACAGGTGAGCATAGCTGTGTTCTCAATAAAAAAGTATTTCTGAAAACAGATGGTGTATGTGCACACCATCATTCACAGCAGCATTGTTCCCAGTAACCAGTAAGTGGAAACAGCCCAAGGGTCCATCAGGAGATAAGTGGATAGGCAAAGTGTCATCCTATATTGATAGGAATAGTATTCATCTGTGAAAAGGAAATATGCAGCATATTTGATATATGCTACAACACAAATGGACCTTGAAAACATGCTTAATGAAGCAAGCCAGGCACAGATGGAAAAATAGTATATGATTCCACTTATAAAAGTTACTGGAGTAGGCAAATTCATTGAACCAGAAAGTAGAATAGAGGTTAGCACTGACTGAGGGGAAGAGGGGTTGTTGTTTAATGAGTAGCAAGGGTCTGCTGGGATGATGGAGTTTTGGGAATAGATGGTGGTAGGAGTTATACATGGGCTTCCTGGTGGCTCAGATGGTAAAGGATCTGCCTGCAATGCAGGAGACCTGGGTTTGATCCCCAGGTTGTAAAGATCCCTTGGAAAATGAAATGGCAACCACTCCATTCACATCACTAAAGGTTTAACAGGCGCTCTTTTTACCCACTACAATGCATCCAGATAACAAGGCACATTGAAATGCAAAAACAAACAAAAAACCCCCCAGACCCAAACAGTTTGAAGACACAGAGCAAGCATCAGATGCAGACATGGCAGGAATGTTGGGATGGTCAGACCTGGAACGTGAATCAGCTATGATCAGTGTGCTGAGGGCTCTAGTGGATAAAGCAGACACTGCGGGAACAGCTGGGCAACGAGAGCAGGAGAGGGGAATTCTAAGGAAGAACTAGGAAGAAATGCTGGAGACCAAATACTGTCCCCGAAATTCAAGACTGACTTTGATGGGCTTCTTAGTAAACTGGAAGACGCTGATGTGGAAGTAATCTCAGAGGGAGATTTACAGTAAACTCACGGCTCTGGTCCCACTCAGATACCCACCCCAGCACATTCCCACCTTCCACCTGCCATCCAGCCAGGGCATGGACAGGGCAGCTCAGGACGAGGCCGGGGAGCACCTGTCCTGCCCAAGGTGCTGACAGCACAGCTCTGGGCGCCTCTCCTGCTGGAGAGCCTGCTCTCCCGTTTCCTGCCCTGAGACTGAACACAAGGGCGCACTCACCTGCCTGCACTTGGCTCCACGCTCTGTGCAGGGAAGTGTCAGTCAGGATGGGCCCCAGTTATAGGGACGGGGTCCCTGGGCCCGATCTCCCCACAGAGGAGCCGTTATCATGTCATCTGGAGCGGAGGTGACACTGTCTGCCTGGAGAGTCTGGGGCGTCTCCAGGGAGGAGCAGATCCTACCCCCAGTGCTCCTCACCCTCACCCACGCCTGGGACCTGTGACGACTCCTGGCAATTACTGAGAAGGTCCACAAGGGCAGCTGAGCAGAGGGCAGGGAGAGTTTTCTGTGTTCCCTGTGGGAGAACCCAAGTGTAGAGTGAAAGTCATAACGGGGAGGGACACTCACAGAGCACCAGGGCCCCCTTCACTGTTTCCTGCTGGGCATTTTCCTTCATGGTCTCACTTTTCCAGACTGTTCCAAAGTGTGTTCTCAGTGATCATCAGCATGTGATCTGGAGGCTGGGCTTTCTCCCGTTCTATTTATGGCCTCAGGTCTGTTTAATCTGGAAAACGCCGCCTCTGAAGTCAGTGTTTCCCTCCTCAGAATCCTCAGGTGTCCCTTGTGTCACATGACTCTGCAAGGATTTAGTCATTTGTTCTAAGCCACCCACGGAGCCCTCTCCTAGAGCCTCTCAGGGGACCTCCAGCCTGTCCCTGTGTTCTGGGCCATTACTGTTGGAAAGATTTCTGGACTCACAGACAGGGACTAAGAAATACCACTGATAAGGAAAAACAGAGAGGTAACATTAGACTGTATGCTGCAGTCCATAGGGTCACAGAGTCGAACTTGATTTAGTGGCTGAACAATAGCATTAGAAAACTTTAAATTGATCATTGCAATCATCAGTTGATAGTTGGATCTTGGGTACCAGTTACCTCAGCTGGGAAACAGTCCTGAGTTCATCCTTCTGAAGCCCAGAGAGCAGAGGGGTACAATCAATCATCCCCATTGGGCTCCTTCTGCAGGGAGTTGATGCACTGTAGCCAGTGGACTTGTCCACGGTTCAGGTACATGGGTTTGACAAGAGAAGGCAGGCAGGTAAGACGGCCACTGCCTCTTCAAAGTGTTCAACTGTGGCTCCTGTCTGCAGAAAAAAAGCATGATAATGATGCAAATTATTGACAGATTATTGATCCTCAGAATCTGCCCCCACACACTTAAACACACAGAAGCTACTGTGTGCTGTCCCTAGGACTTGGTAATGAAGGTGCAAACAGAAACACTCATGGTCCTGGTCCTGAGATATGAGATGCTGGTTACATGAAGGCCATGGTTCATCATCAGACTCTTCCTTGAACTGGTGAAAGGGTCTTGATTTCGCTGTCTATTAAGGTAGCTCCGGTCCCACGTGGCTACTGAGCCCCTGAAACGGGCTCGTCTGAGAGATGCTCTGATTGTAAACACACACTGGACACCAAGCGTCTGCTAAGACAGAGAGACAGTAAGCTACCTTTTCAAGAACTTTTCAGAATTGATTATAGCTTGTGCTCAGTCGCTCACTTGTGTCCGACTCGTTGCGACCCCATGGACTGCCACCCACCAGGCTCCTCTGTCCATGGGACTCTCCAGGCAAGAACACTGGAGCGGGCTGCCATGCCCTCCTCCAGGGGGTCTTCCCGACCCAGGAATCGAACCCACGTCTCTTGCATTACAGGCAGATTCTTTACCATCTGAGCCACCAGGGAAGATAGGCCAATTAACAACAAGAAGACTGGACTGGGTAATAATTACTATGATTTCTTATAGCTCTCCAATTTGAGTCTGTGAGTTGAGAAAATGGTGAAATATTTTTTGTTTGAAATACATTTTTGGCCAACCAAAGTAACCATCTTCTTTTTAAAGCAGGAAATGCACATGGTACTATTCCTTATGATCTCTAGAATTATATTTTTCTCCAGTATTACTTTCCCAAGTATGGACAGACATCAGTCTTAAAATTGGCCTGATATCCTGATGCTGTTATATGATAGCTCCTTGGAACTTTACCAAATGATGATCTGTGAACTTCTCTCGCTTTGTTCTTTTGTGATCATGCTTGACTTTGGCTCAGCTATATTTAAAGTTGTGGGGAGAAGAGATTTCTTGAAAAATACGGCACCAAAAGTCTGCTCTCAAATTGAATATTTGGAAACCTCCAGTAAAAGTAAATCCATATGGCAGGTCTGCTCCCAGCTTGATTCTTGCACGAGTGGGTCTAATATCCTTTTTGACTTTGTGTGAGTGCATGCACAATCTTGCATGTACCCTTTGTGGTGGAAGTCAATTATACCGGTTTTGTTTTTGTTTTTCTTTCCAGTGAGAGAACCTGGAGTATCAGTTCTGAGTTTCTGGGTTGGGGCAGGTTTTATTTTCTTAGCAGTAACCACACCACGAAAAGGGGAAACAAAGCAGTCCCTGACAAAAAGAAGTCTTGAAAAATAATATCAGTAACAAATACTAACTTTGAAGAGTTCAATGCGTTCGCCAACTAACTCAAAGCCTACATTAAATGGTACACTCTAAGATCCTTCTCACAAAGCCTGATGGGCCAGTTGCTGTTTCCACTGTTAGNGGCGGTCGGGGCCACTCGCTTTGCCCCGGATTCGGCGAGGACCGCCAGTGCCCAGACTCACAGGGCAGATCCTCAGGATCCTCAGGTCGTCCTGGCTAGGATGCGATGCAGAGAAAAATGGACGCAGCCGGAACTTGAGTGAATGTAACGACACGGGACCTCTCGCCAACGCGGTAGGAGGAAACGATCCCGACATTCAGGAAGACCCCCGCTCCGTGCAGCCGGGGGCTCACCCTGAGCGCGGCGCAGGAAGGCTCGCTGCAGGCGGAGAGCACGGCTCCGTCTCTCAAACTCACGGCCCAGAAGCCGCGTCTCCAGTCGGCTGCGTCTCCTCTCGCCGGCGCGCAGACTCGCGGCAGACGCCCAGGTGCCCTCGGCCGCACCCCGCCTCCACCTCCGGGAGTGGCGTCGGAGGAGAACCGCGGGGAGTGCAGGACGCTAGTGGTGCGGCTGAACCTCTCGGGTCTCGGCTTCTTCTGCTGCTTGTAAACCCGCAACGGACAGGCTCAGGTCCTCGGGAATGAGGAGGTACTCAGTGGCCGGGTCAACGTCCAAGGGCGCGTCCACGGCGGGGAGAAAGGTCAGCAAGAGCAGACACGGGACTCGACACTTCGTGCCCTCGGGGTGGGGGTGGGGTCACGTGGCTCACTCTGCTCACTTCCGTAACTCGGCACTTCTCACCCAAGCAGAGGGCTCCTGCTGATGCTCCCCTGAGCCTGATGAGATAGTTCCACGTATAAACTGAATGATTAAAGAGATACAGTTCCATGTATAAACTGAATGATTAAAATGGAACCGGTCTTTCTCATTCATGCCCATGTTCTCTTTGCATTAACTGGATTATTTGATTCAAGACTTTCCTTCTGTTTAGAACACGATATGCATTAAAGAAAAAAAAAGCCCCTGGATGTTGATTTTCCTCAAAATTTTCCAGTTGACACAAACTTTGTCAAAATACAGACACTGACTATACACCTGAATGGTGGTGATTTGACGTGTCCCAGAATAATGTTGGAATAGTAAGGTATCTTTTCTTCTTTTTGCATCTTCTCTTTCTGTAAATGAACAACAAGCAATTGCATTCCAGTCCTTCCCATTCTCTGAGTTGTAGAAGATATAAGGAGACGTCTCAGAGGTCTCTGGATGAGGGGGTTAACTCTGGAAGTCAAGACAGAGGAAGGGATTCCCGAGGACACGGGAAAGGATGGGCTTGGATACTGTAGTGACTCAGACCCAGAACTCCATGCGGCTGGGCTCAGAGGGCCGGGCGGAAGGACTAGGTACATTGGCAACATCTCGGCCTAACCCTGTGATGATGAGGGGGGCTCCACCCGCCTGTCCTGATGTGACCGTGTGGATGGGGCTGGGCACCGGAGCACAGTCATCACAGCCCACGGATGATAGGACCCGTCCCAGGAGGAGGCTGGAAGGAGCCTGGGCACTCTCTGCACAGCTGGGGAGGTCAGCCCTGGCATTCAGAGCTAACCCAGGAAACGCAGCTGAGCTGTTGTCACTCCCCTTCCCTCCGAGTCCCGAGCCGGAATCAGGCACCTTAGGTCCCGGCCAGGGCGGGAGCACACAAGACCCGACTGAGACCTCCGGTCACACAGCCCGCGCACCTTTCCCTTTGGCCTGGCGTTCGTGCCCTCGGTACGCCCTGTCCACTCGAGCTGTTCAGAGTCACCTGGGGCTTTGCCACATCCTGTGGGGGGTGCTCAGTTGTGTCTGACTCTCTGCAACCCCAGGGACTGTAGCCCACCAGGCTCCTCTGTCCACGGGATTCTCCAGGCAAGAATGCTGGAGGGGGTTGCCATTCCTTCCTTCCAGGGGATCTTCCCTACCCCGGGGATGGAAGTGGCCTCCCAGGCATCTCCTTCATTGGCAGGTGGATTCTTTACCATTAGTGCCACCTGGGAAGCCCACACAGGACTAAGGCATGGCCTAAATGTTATCATTGCTTAAAAAAAGAAAAATCTACGGATAGCTCTTACCTACACCTAATGGAGGAGAACACTTGCTAGTTGGAAATAAGAAACATTTCAGGTGGCAGAATTCAGTGGGGCCCTCAGCGAGGCCTTTAGCTAGCCGAGCGCTGTTGAAAAGGCGCTTTGCCCGGGGCGATTGCCTCACCTCGGAACTTGCGGATCCTTGGGTTCATCTGGGGGACGGCTCTCAGCTGGGGCTCGAGGCCTTGACCTTGCACATGAGTGCTCCGAGCTGCAGCGCGCGCCTGAGCTCAGTCTTCTGGGAGACCACCGAACATTTGCGGCACAGCAAGCCCTCCGCGCCGGGCGCCTTCTGCAACGAATCCAGGCAGCGGAAGCCACATTTCAAGTATGTGGGGTTGTCCAGGTACGTCGGGCAGACCGTACATTTACTCGCTTTAAATAAGGGTTCAGCCATGGGTCCTCTCTGGGGAAACGTGCTTGAGACGGGAATTTCCATGAGCTGAATGGATACTAGTCCCTGGGGCACTTTTTAGCCCAGAATTTTTGTCTGATACAGAATATGACTTTAGTCTTGTCTGATTCTTTTGCTACCCCATGGATTGTAGCCCGCCAGGCTCCTCTGTCCATGGGATTCTCCAGGTTAACAATATTGGAGTGGGTTGCCATTTCCTTCTCCAGGAGATCTTCCCAACAGGGTGATCCAACCCGAGTCTCCTGAGTTGGCGGGTGGGTTCTTTACTTCTGAGCCACCAAGGAAGCCTGATGGAGAATATAAATCTCTGCAATTTTTTTTTTGGCTGCGTGGAGTATATTATGCACAGTGAAGTCAGTCAGAGAGAGACAAACACTGCATGATATCACTTATATGTGGAGAGTAAAAAACAATACAAATGAACACATATGAAAAACAGAAACATGTTTACAGATATAGAAAACAAGTGTGTGGTAACCAGAAGGGAGGTTGGGTGGAGGGCAGTGCCACAGATTAACAGAGAGAAATTACTGTATGTAAAACTGCTAAACAAGGACCATACTGTTTAGCACTAGGGATGTACACCCATTACCTTGTAATAACTTAAAATAGAGAATACTTTGCAAAAATACTGAATCACTGTGCTGTACCTCAAAGTAACATATTGAAAATCAGCTATTCTTCAATAAAAATATAAGACTAATAAGTATGCTAGTGTCAATGCAATAAAGAGTCATTTGTCTTTTTACATAAAAAACCCCCCAAAATTTAAAAAATGATGTTGCAATGATTACACTTGGCCTGTTAACATTGGTTAGATTTATCTGCTTCTCCTTTGTTTATGTGCATACTGGAAAATGAACTTAAAATCACACATGTGGGTCACCCTGGACTCTCCACCTGTCCAAACTGCATGTGGCAAAACTCACACAGGAACTTGAGAGGTGGAACCAGTCTGTGACTGAAACTTCATCTCACAGAGTCTACCAAGCTCTGATTAGACTCAGATAATGAAGATCAAACTAGTCAATCCTAAAGGAAATCAACCCTAAATATTCATTGGAAGGACTGATGCTGAAGCTCCAGTACTTCGGCCACCTGATGCCAAGAGCTGACTCATGGGGAAAGACCCTGATGCTGGAAAGACTGAAGGCGGGAGAAGAGGATGACAGAGGATAAGATGGTTGGATGGCATCACCGACTCAATGGACATGAGTTTGAGTAAACTCCGGGAGATAGTGAAGGATAGGGAAGGCTGGCATGGGGTTGCAAAGAGTTGGACATGACTGAGTGACTGTCTTCTGTAGAACGGAAATGTAAGAATGAACACTCCTAAGACAGACTTACCTCTACTCAGTCAGGTCCAGCTGCTTGCCCCCTCTCACAGCTCAGTTCTGCAGTGAGAGCCACCTCCAGGGGCTTTATAAGAGATGGCTTCTCCCATCTCACGCCCATTCTTTGCTAATCCAATCAGGTTGTGATTTAATTCTGGCCTTAGGTTTCTTTATCCTCCAGTCATACAGAGATTTAACACACACACACACACACACACACACACACACACACACACACACACACACACACACGAGATAACTGTATCTTAAAAGTGCTATCTTTAATCTAATAGGAAACAAATATTGCCAATTCAGTCAGTCCTGAAGGAAATTCACCCTGACTATCCATGGGAAGGCCTGAAGGCTGAAGCTGAAACTCCAATACTTTGGCCACCTGAGGGGAAGAGCTGACTCATTGGAAAAAACCCTGATGCTGGGACAGGCTGAAGGCAGGAGGAGAAGGGGATGACAGAGGATGAGATGGTTGGATGGCATCACTGACTCAATGGACATGAGTTTGAGGAAACTCCAGGAGATAGTGGAGGACAGAGGAGCCTGGCCTGCTACAGCCCATGGGGTTGCAAAGAGTCAGACAAGACTGAGCAACTGAACAACAAATGATATCCAAATAGCTGTCAGAAAAAAGTTTTCTGTATTCCCTGTGGAAAATTTTAGTTCAGAGTCAAAGTTAAATCAGGCGTGCAAGGGACCATTGAAGGTGCATCAGGGATTTCATTATTTCCAATTGGGCTGGTTCTTCAGTGCTTTTTCATGTATCCAAAATACTGAGTGTCACCAATGGATCAGGAGTCTCTTTTCAAGGACCTTAAATTCTATGCTTCTAATTATATCCCTAGGTCTTTTCATCTGTAAAATCCCCCATTTTAGGCCTTCTTTTCCACCTCAAAATCCTTTGTATCCATAATGTCAACATGATGGCACAGGTAAACAAAGAATTTTATTGGAAAGAAAATTTTGTTGTGTTTTATTGGAATGCAGAGGGGCTTCACAGGTGGCGCTAGTGGTAAAGAACCCACCTGCCAATGCAGGAGACATGAGAGGCGGGGGTTCCATCCCTGGGTTGGGAAGATCCCCTGGAGGAGGTCATGGCAGCCTACTCTAGTATTCTTGCCTGGAGAATCCCATGCACAGAGGAGCCTGGTGGGCTAGTCTATAGGGTCGCCAAGAGTTGGATACGACTGAAGAAGGGACTAAGCACGCATGCATTGTAAAGCAGCCACCTCTGTCTGCATATTGTCTTAGGTGGCTTCTACCTACAAATGTAGCATTAAGCGGTTGTGACAGAGACCATGTGGCCTGTGAACATAAAGATATTTACTATCTGAGTCTTCGAGTAAAAGTTTGCTCCCAAGAACTAGTTTGTTGTACTTTGTGAGAATTCCAGTGCCCACAACCCACCCCATCTAAGAGTTAATGGTGCCCCCAGCCCCTGGGGACAATCCCACACTCCTCAGGTTTTTCACTGAGAAATTGTTCTTTCTGCCATCTTTTGTTTCATATTGAGTTTTTTTTCATGCTTTTGTTCTCATGGTAGGGCTAATTCTTTGTTTCAGCCATGTTATTTTTTTCCGTGGTTTGAATATTATTAGAATTTCCAAGAGTACTGTTAAAAATTTCTCCTTTAAATACAGTTTCTATTTATTTNGAGAGAGAGAGAGAGAGAGAGAGAGAGAGAGAGAGAGAGAGAATAGGATGGATGCATAGTTGGGCACCCTCTTTTCTGTTACAGAGAATTAACTGTATCTGATGTTGGGTGGAGGAGAACTTTGTGAGATGATGAAAATGTTGTGTTGTACAGAAATATGTCACTATGGAGCAACTGGAATGAGTCTAGGGCAAATGAGGAGCAGAATTTTATTTTTTTCTTCTTTCTTTTTCTTTTTAGAGGAGCAGAATTTTAATCTTGCACTGCTTGAATTTAGACGTAGGCAGCTCCACGTGGCTAGCCCAGGGACTGGGAGGAGCGGAAGGTGTCTTCCCTTGTGGTGTGGGGCACCTGGCCCAGCAGATGGTGCCAGAGCTCCAGGATGGAGAATCAGGGCTGGAGTTGGTGGTGAGGAGGGAGGAGGCCGGAGATGATGGAAACGGCTGGGATCCACACACTTGCAGCTGCTCTTCCCAGGTCACAAGAGATTATGAAATAAAGGAATTAAGCTTCTTAAAGGGTTTCCCAGGTGGTGCTAGTGGTAAAGAATACACTCGTCAATGCAGAAGATGCCAGAGATGCAGGATTGATTCCTGGGTCGGGAAGATCCCCTGAAGGAGCAAATGGCAACCCGCTCCAGTATTCTTGCCTGGAGAATCCCATGGACAGAGGAGCCTGGTGGGCTACAGTCCATGGGGTTGCAGAGAGTCGGACACAACTATGCTTGCACCCACACAAGCTTCTCAGAACCGTTTCTCCTCTGCCTCCTATTTTCTCTCCTTCAGGGAGAGACACACACACTCCCTCTCGCTCACACACACACCCTCACAATCTTACTCGTGGTCTCAGTCAGTCTCTCCACTGTGCTTCCCAACATGCACACCCTCTGTCTATTACACACACTCTCACACACCACTTCTGGTGTGTGCTTTGCAGGACTGCTAGTACAAGAATGAAGAGGAACTTCAGTGCTTCTGGTTCCAGTAAAATGGTGTGTGGAACCAAGAGAGACCCGTCTGTCATGGCCACATGAGGATGCTGCAGCACCTGTCCTTAGCCGGGCCAACACGGCATGTTCTCTAGAGATGGGAAAGTGTGGAAACTGGTGCAGCCTCTGGATGGCCTGACGTCAGGACTGAAATGAACTCCACCAAAACCAGCTTAGGGGCCGAAGTAGAGTGATCTGTTGAATCCAGTTACAAGAAAACACCAGAGAATTTTTAAAAGTTAGAAAACTGTATTTTTTTTCCCTTTGGTGGTTGCCAATCATGTTCTACCTACATCATTCCTTCTACATTTACTTATTCCTATTAGATGTATCTATGTTTAAATCCTGACTTTGCCATTCTAAATATAACTGATTTTTGTGTGTACAGCTGAAGCTAACACAATATTGCATCTTTTTATTTTTCAACACCAAAACATTTTGTATTGGGGTAAATCTGATTAACAGTGTTGTGATGGTTTCAGGTGAACATTGAAGGGATTCAGCCATACATGTACATGTATCCATTCTCCCCCAAACTCCCCTCCCATCCAGGCTGCCACATGACATTGAGCAGAGTTCCATGTGCCATACAATAGGTTCCCATTGGTTTTCCACTCTAAACACAGTAGCTAACACAATATTGTAAATCAACTATACTTGGATTAAAAATGTGTGTGTAAGTGTTGAGTGTAGCTAGGTATATCTGCTTGTATGAGTATGTTCATGAAACTGAATTATGAGCTGTTTGTGCTGAGAGGCCCCAGAGCAATGACACATTCATGGCAGTGTGCAAAGCTAGCAGTGCACCCTGGTTTCTCAAAACTGACTTCCATTCGAAAGAATCTGTATTTTTTGATGAAAACATAAAAAAATAGCAAAAGGCATTACAAGATCTATAGAATTATACTATTTAAAGGTTTTTACATGTTCTTTGATAGGGTTGAAAGCAGTCGGATCAGACTATAATACTTTGGGAACCCATATATAATGGCTA